TGGATCGTAAACTTTGGCCACCCTTTGGAGAATAGTCCTTTTTGTGGCCTCAGCACTGTCATGGGATAAATTTCCTAAAAATTCGCAATTCAACTTGATCTTATCTGCTTCAGAGTTCCAGATCATGCCCAAAAATTTTGACTCTTTAGCTGGTTCTATGTTATAACCTTTTCCAATCCACCAGGAATTAAGTTCCTCGGAATTTGACCTTAATTTTCTCAAATTCATCTCAGCGTCTTTAAAAATCTTAACCGCGTCTGAGGATAATCGACATGCATCTTCAATAGTGTCTGCACCGTAGTATAAATCGTCTACATATAACGAGGAATCTAACATTTCATAACTTTCTGGATTTGTGCTTTTATATTTTTTAATGTGGAATTTTATCGTCATCGCTAAAATTGCTGGACTACAGCAAAGTCCGAATGGAAGACGTTTAAACCTTAAAACTTTATATTTTTCCTCACTATTCCCGAACCAAAGAAATTTTAAATATTCCCTATCCTTTTCTAAGATTCCTATCATTAAAAAGGCCTTAGCTAAATCTCCGCTGAAAGCAATTTCATATTTCCGAAATTTTAAAATTATGTCCAAAACCACGGGGATCAAACTAGGTCCAATGTCTAAAAAATCATTTAAGGACTTTACACCTTTAGTTCTAGAAGAGCTCGCGTCGTAAACAATCCTACAACTTGTGGTTTCCTTAGGTTTTATTATTTCCCTGTGCGGCATAAAATACGATGCCTCCGTTATTTCCTGTGAACACTTCTCAACTATACCCTCCTTCATTTGCTCTTCAATTACGGATTTATACTGCTGATAAATCTCAGGATTTCTAATAAGTCTATTTTTAAGACTTTCAAATCGTCTTAATGCTACTCCGAAATTATTTTCTAATTGCCCTGCTTCCGATTTCCATAATAAACTGACATAGTATCTATTACCTTCTACCCGTATTTCCTTTTCAAAGCTTTGAATCATTTCTCTCACCTCGTTAGAAATCGCTGAGTCATCGGTAAGGCCCATCAAATCTAAAGTCCATAACGATCTCAATGAATCAGTTACGCAAGAAGAAAGGTTTACTATTGCCGTGTTTTGAGATACTATTTCGCTCTCTTTATCTTGAAGGCCAACTGGGACCCATCCAAACATAGTAGAAATCGCATAAATTTCCTTTCCTAATTGAATCTTTTCCCCCCTTACCATCTTCCAGTAATAATCCACACCTATTAGAATTCCAACGCTTCCTTTACATAAACAAGCGATTCGCAATCCGCACTCATTCATCATTTTTAGTGTTTGTTTTGACGGCGTGGTCATATGCGCAGCCGTTATGGCGTCAGTGACGAGACAGCTGATTTTTTATTTTGTTCTTTTGCTTCGCATCCGAAACACAGAATTCGACAACCTTATATGTTTTAGGTACTGCGTATTTCATTCCGAAAGAATAAATAGACAATGTTTCTTCTCCAACAAATTTTAAGTTTAATTTCTTAACTACACTAATATGAACAAAACTTCGTGTAGCACCACAATCGAAAATTAAATTAGTTAACTCTGACTTTCCGTCATAATGAGCTAACACTGAACAGGTTTGCAATAAAGCATTTTTATTCAATGATTTATCACAAGGAACAACAGAAAGCGTGTGTTCTTTCGGGGAGTTTTGTGTTTCATCTACTGAATTGTCTCGCGAGCTTTCGCACAATTCTTTTATGTTTTGATTTGAAGCCGTTCGCGCTTTGTTACGATTTGAACTACTCGTACATAGTGACTCATGATGCGACTTAAACCCGCATTTTAAGCAGTTAGTTTTATTTCTGCACGATTTCCAAATGTGATATTTTCGAAAACAAATAAAGCATCTATTTTCAGTACGTAACTTACACAATTTTTCTTTAATGCTTTTATCACAAGAAAATGAATTATGGGACTTTTCGCAGAAGATGCATGCACGATTATCAACAGCATTGAAACTGGCAGCCGTAGGTACATTTCTGTGAATTTTTTTATAATCAGACTTAGCATGTTCGAAACGTGGAGGCAAGGTATTTCTTTTATCTCGCGTCAATAAACTCGACGCTTCACGACATTCAATTTCCCGCTTTATGAAGTCCAACAAGTCTGAAACATTAATTTCTTCATTTGGGTTTTTCCTTCGATTAAATTCCAGAACGAACTCTTCTGGAATAGCTTTTAACAACACAGGTATTAATAACTGACCAAATGAACCTTTCGTAACTCCTTGCGCTTCCAAATTCCGAACTGCAATTTCGATTTCATCATATAACCTACGTAAAGCTTTAATATTATTTGAATTCCTTACTGGTTCTAAATTTAACAGTTTGTTCATGAATTGACTAATTATTATTTCTTTTTTCCCGAATCTATCCTTTAAAGATTTTTATACTCTCATCGTAATTTTTTGCATTTAATTCTAATGAAGATACTACATTACTCGCGGCACCTGTAAGTAATGTTTTCAAGTATGCGAATTTTTCTATCTTACTAAGACTTTCGTTTTTGTCTATAGTGCTTTCGTAACTGTTCCAAAACTCCGTAAATTTTTCAGGATCACCTGAATATTTCTCTAAAACTAGTTTTGGAAGTTTTACCGTACTTTGTACATTTTGCAGTCTAACCAAGTTTTGTTCAGGATCTTTAATACTTATTTTATCCTCTTCCAACATTCGATTAATTCGTTTAATAGCTCGAGAACATTTTTCCTGATATTCCTCAGAACTAACTACATCCGCTTCTAGAGAATCTATCTCAATTACGGAATGAATTGCCTCGTCTAATTCTTTCAAATTACTTTTTTTTTTCTATTAATAATTCATGCACTTCGCATAATTCATCTGTATCTTTCTTTGCTAAGCTATCCTCGACTTTCTTTAATAGTTTAGATACTACCGTTCTCAATGCGGTTCTCTTTCGTTTTAATCTATCTAGTTCTGCCATTATTTCGCGTTAATACACAAATGTACCTAAGACTGCAAATTATCAAAATTCAAATCAAACACGTTCAAAATTTAATAATAATCATGCTCTTACCTAGGGCATGGTCTGGACACATACTTCCTCGTGAAGTTCACTTTAACAAATCCAAACATTTCCGTAAGATGCACCATTGTGACGAACCTGCATTTATCCATGGCGGCCCGTAGAGCAATCACAAAACATCCGATGGTTCAGTTTTTCTAATGCTATTTATTATTCGTTATATTTACATATTTACAACTGTCCTATTGTTAGGTGGACTACCTTCACAGAAATCATGTTGCCTAATCAAACAACATTTCGTTTCTACTTACATGCATTGCGCTACTGCCAAGCAGCGCCCTCTACTTCTCTCTTTACAACACCAAATGCATAAAAAATAGGCAGAGTAGAAACATTGAGTGCCTATCAATTGAATGCAGATCGGTTAGGCGCACTGCCATCCAATTATGCAAATAATATCGACCCATCCATGCCTTGAAATGGTCAATAATGCTCAGATGGCATTTACAGACAGTGAAAAATCTGAAGCTTAGCTGACAGCCTTACTATACAGTCCGCATCAAGTAACAACATTTAGTGTAGTTGTCTCATTATACAGGGAAACATACATGCAGGTGTTGAAAAATTTTTAACTCAAATTCATGTGCCTGACGTAAGGCCTACTGATCCCATGGTGGTTTTAGAATTTATTGAAAAACTGAAGTGCGAAAAGGCCCAGGCATAGATTCTATTTTGAATTGCATGATCATAAACTTAGCCATAATGTTTATAGTTTAGATTATTTTTCTTATTCTTAGGAAAAGCTACTTTTCCGATTGTTGGAAAATTGCAACAGTTGTCCCCATTCCTAAACCAGGACAAAATTTAAATGTACCGCTCTATTACAGGCTAGCTCAATTACAATGTTTTTTTTGTTTTTTTTTTTTAAATTTTCGTAAATGCCTGAATGAATTCAGCTGTGATCAAAATGCGATTATTCTGGAAGTTTGGTTTGGTTCAACAACTCCACGGTACACCAGTTACAGTTGTCCCCATTCTAAACCAGGACAAAATTTAAATGTACCCCTCTATTACAGGCTAGCTCAATTACAGCTTCTTCTTCTTCTTCTTCTTTTTTTTTTTTTTAAATTCTCTTAAACGCCTGAATGAATTCATCTGTGATCAAAATGCGATTATTCTGGAAGTTTGGCTTTCGCTCTCAACATCTCTATGGTACACCAGTTACTCCATGTAGTTGAATTCATTCACAAAGGCTTTCGTAAACAAGAGAAAACTGGAATTGTCTATCTTAACATAGTCAAATGCCTTTGATGTAGCCAACGCAAAAATGTGAAGGTTGGTCTTCTTTAGTTATGGTACATTTTCAAGTGATTTTCCCCGTATTTTAGGCAGCATTCCGGGTTGTTCCTTGAGTGTCGCCGAATCTTCGGCATCGGAAGCATTGCTAGGTGAATAAGTCTGTGCTGGTAGCTAGATGAATATACATTTAAACTAATATGGGAACATTAGGTATATCTGAAAAGTAAAAAAATATGTATTATAAATTATTCTGTGTGAATTAAATGTTCTTAATTTTTTATATCAGGAATTTTTATTTAACTGAATCAGATTCAAAAGTAAAAAAAAAAAAAAATAAGAACTGCATCTGTTGCTATTAAATATCTTAGCTTGTTCATCAGTAACAGAGATTAACTTTAAAACATAAATATCTTATATTTTTCTGAATGAGCATACACAACACGTTAAGGTGAAGCAACACAAAATTGCGTTTCAAGACTATTGGTCCATTTGGGCTAATAAACTCATCTCTAATTTCTAAAGTTTTTCAAATTATTGATGCTAATAACTGTTTTTCTTGATCCATTGAATATTTATGTAAGAAAATAGTATATAATAATGTTATAATTTATATTGTAGTTTTCATAATAGCTGAGCAGTATTCTTTATAAATTCTTCTTTTTAAACAAATAATAACCTATATTCTGTTACTTAGGTCTTCTAAAGGATTGTGCACGCTCCCCCGGGCATCATTATGCCCACTGGCATCCTTTAAGCAGCCGGAAGCGAGGATCCGAGGGAGGGTGATTCGCACCCTGGACCCCTCGGAATACCCCGTGGCACAGATATGCTCCCTGTCGAGGCATTTCCCAGGTAAAATTAATACTTTATTGTATAATTTTTTCTACATATTGTTGCTTGCATACAGGTTCATAATAATACAGAGTTCATACAGTCCTTAAGAGTCCTTAAAAGTCCTTAGATTTTTTGGAATTGATTTTTGTTCCTTAAAAGTCCTTAATTTTGGCCAAACTCGGCAGAAGGTCCTTCATTTTAATCATCTGAAATTTATGTCTGGTTTTACGACTGCCATTTTGAGTGTGAATTAGCATTTGGAGGAATATTTTTGGCAATTCACCGACATATATGATTATCTTTTGAATGGGTTCATGGGTTATAATTTGTTTCTATTTCTAATATAAATGATAGGATACTCGAGTTTCTAAGCAAGAAATGAAACATAAGCATTTCGAAATTCGTTTAATAAAGAGCTTTTAAACAACTTTTCACTTTTGGGGATGTGAATTCTTTTATTAAACGGTTCTAAATTTGGCGACTTATCAACATTTTGGGGATTTTGAGATCAGTTTCCATAGAACATTTTTAGTTCCCGAGATCTGAGAAATTTTCGACTATTTTTTTAGAACATTGTAACATTGATAAATATCATTAAAATAATGGTAATGTATTGTAATTATTTTAAAGAAATAACATTAAAGTAAAGCATTTTTATTTTTCGCTGCCGTATTATAAATTCCATTTTGGCCACTTATACAATATCTTGAATCTGAAAAAATAAACAAGGTATAATGTTATAAAGCACAATTTACAAAACATTTCTTAGCAAAAGCAAAATAGCTATGTAATTAATTAAAAATATTTTCTTTTTAATTTTTTTATGGTAATCTGAGTTTTTCCCATGTTATTTTAGTCTTTCATTTATGCATTCAGTTTTTCTCATGAAAATTAATTTTAACATTTTTTTCCCCCTAACATGATTTTTTTCTCAAAATATTTCTGGCTTTTTGCTGTTATAATGAATTCGTAGGCAATGTAATTGTTCTTCTAGTGAAATTTTTATGCTAAATTCTAAAATTGCAGCTCTAATCGGGAATGTTTAGAAAGAAAAAGCTAAATGATTTATAGAAACCCACAAATTCTAGAAGATTCGCAGTAAATATGTGACCAAAATTTTGGAATTAGTTTGAATTTGACTGTTCTTGTTTAATTATGTCATTATGAGCTGTACTTGATTTTGTTAGCATCAGAACGTGCCTTTATGTTCCAAGTTCTTTTTAAATAAGCCTCTTATTTAAACCGTTGTCTGATATTGTAGTTGCTTTCAGACAAAGCGATAATATGCTTCACGTCTGCCGGAGGTTTTGGACTATTTAACTTTTAGCAGATAAAGTAAACCCTCGTAGGTACATTATGGAGAGGTTGACAAGTTAGGAGGTAAAGCATGCAGAAACTAGCAAGGGCAGTGGTTTGCATATTAAGACAAATCTCTAATTGTTAGAAAAGATGCTTAAAGAGAAGGAAATCGATATAATCTAGCCAAAATATTTGGGAAGGCTTTAAATTAAAACGATGGATAAATATTTTGTTGAGTGTTTTTGTTACAAAACATAGATGTTTTGTAGCTTTTAATGTGTAATAATCCTAATATCGTTTAAGAATCAATGCTATAAATTACGTGTATTTTAAACTATGAAATTTTATTAAATTTTGATTTTAGTAGGGCTTTTTTAATAAATTTTGTTCAAAAATAAAATTTAATAGTAGTCATGTAAATCCATAATGACTAAGGATATCAAACTACCTAATTTAATTATTTATAACTAACTGCTTATCCTTAAAAATTATCTCTACATATTATTGCCTTTCATTAATACTCACTGTGGTCACAAGATAAAATACAAAAATGTAAAAATTCAAGTAAAGCATATTCTAATGCATCTACTGAGACTTAAAATAATACAAAACAACATATCACATCTGGTGCTTTAATGGTTTATTGGAACCTTAAAGTATATTAACTGGGTTACAACCCCTGGAACTGTACATGAAGCTACGACACTAACTGCATCAAACAGAGCCTGACTAACTTTCAACACTTGCCAACCTCGCCTTCATCAGGCTTTTAATGTTTGTTCTAATCAGCAGGTCTCTCTCTAGACAAGCAGCAGCAGTGTCAACATTTCAGTCTTTTGTTATGAATCATGCTGATTATGATCTTACTTCTTATTTTAAACTATGGAGTTTGACATAAAATTCTACCTGCTTATTTACTAAATCTCTAGACTGACCAAGTATGTAACATAATGGGACATTAAAAAAAATCAACATAAAGCTTATTGTTAGTAAACGTAAATGTCACTTCTTTCAAATATGTCCAATAAGTGTAAAATATTTAATGCTACTTGATCAGCTGCTTAAAGTTTATCTTATTTTCAAACTTATTAATAATTATGTTAATTCATGTTTAGTAATAATGCACACTACTTAGGGATCTATTTTATTTTTAGGATGTTATTACAAATGTGAAATGCAGGCATCGATAATATTTTTAATTGAATTTATTCAGTTTGCATTTGCTCATGGGTCCTTAATTTTTTTCATTAATGGTCCTTAAAAGTACTTAATTTCCGTGTGCAGAAATGTGTACGAACTCTGTAATAGATTGAGAGTTCACCAACGGCCGAGCGTTAAAGTCACTGAATACTGGTAGTTCGGTCTGAGGTTCGAATCCCGCGAATGGGCTGGCTGCATGGGCGTTTTGGTTTTCCCGCTGCGTTCGAAGGTACCCTTAGGCGATAGCCTTAGTGTGCTGCTGTGCAAAAGTTCATGGCTGTACTTTATTGAGGTTCGTTCCCCTGAGTACACTTATTGTAACGTCCTGAAAGGGCTGCATGGGCGCTTTACTGGTTTTCCCCATGTGTAACGTGTATACGAGCCAGTTTCCCTTAGAAAGTCCTCCACGGAAGGCATCCCTTCCCTTAGGCAGATAGCCTTAGTGTGCTTTGCCGTAGTTAAGTAAACAAAAACCAAAACAAACCATAATAGATTGAATGAATAAGTCCGATAAAAGGTTAATAAAATTTATTCTTATCAAATGAAATGTAATAGATTGCTGAAATTTTCTTCAGAGATATTCGTACAAGTGTTCACAGTATCACGCAGTAATAATCAGTGGTTATACTCAGGGCTGTGGAGTCGGTAGGGAAAATGACTGACTCTGACTCCTGGAATTTTAATGACTCTCATTCCCTCATATATATATATGTAAACATCTAACATGGGTTACAGCTTATTTTTTTAATATAAAAGAAGTAATAGATGCTACAGGAAAAAAATTGATGGCATAGCAAATTATATATATTAATTAGCATTTATTATGAAATGGAAAAACTGGCATTAGTTATTTCTAAGAAAATGTACAACTTCGGCAAGATTTTCTTTGTTAGAGGGCCATAGATCAGATTTGATAAACTTCAGAGCTGAGAACTTTCCAGACTAACTTGAGTAGGAGGAAGAGCTATTACTGTTAGGCCTACTTCTTTTAACTATTCAGAATAGATTTTTATAAGTTCTAAAAGAGGTGTCTTGCAAGTATTTCTGTATTTCTTCAAAGGCCATGTAGAAATCTTGTTTGTATTTTTTCATTTTTCTATTTAAAGCTCTTGTTTTTTTATTTTCATTCGCTTTGCTTAGCCTTTTAAGTATTATCCAAAAATATTTCTCAAAATCTAATTTATCAATGGAAAGGATGATAGAGACTCAATTGCTACTTTTGCAGTTTGACTGTCCTGATTCAAATTCTCCAATTGTTCTGAGAATGATTTCATTCTTAATGAAAGTTCATAGATGACTTTCTTTGCCTTTTAACTTCCTAAGAATGGCATCAATTTTAGGAGTTGTTGCTGCTATTGCTGCTTACCTAAATTTACCAGTGAGATTTGTAATTAAATGGACCAGTTTAATCATTAAGAGTCAAATATCACATCCATCCTCCTCCCTTATATTTATTTATTAATAGGTCAATAAAATAGAAAATAACCATTTATTAATTGCATAAAGTCCATAAATAAAAATAACTCAGCTTGTCATTAATTTTTTTTCTATTTATTTTAATTTTATTTCAAATTCAAACTGTCCAACGAAAAACTGGAACAACAGCTTCCGAGTCCTTTTACCCCAAAATGCTGCCCGACTTCCATGACTCCACATCCTTGAGTTATGATGATATGTACTTAACTATTAAAAATGTTACAATACAATGCAATGCAAAAAGAAACTTAATCCAATCTCACGCTGAACAGCTAACTAAACAGTTGAACTGAGATGTTCTGTCTCTGGCATTTTTTAGCATTTTAATTGGTTACGAGAAGTTTCAATTAATTTCTTTGCTTCTTGAGATTTCTAGAAACCATTAAGAGGAATTACAGTTGCAGCTAGCAAAGTAGTCAATTACATTTATTCAAATTAAACATAAATTACTGAGATAAACGTTTACTCAATGTTGAATGCACATGGTCCTGTATTTTTACTTTTCTGGCAATAGCTTTCTCACATGTTGCATTTATCACGTGCTGCATTGCATAGGAAAGTAAAACAATTATAATTCTACTAACATTAGCTATCTAAATACAAAATTTGTAACACTGCCCCCTTCCCAAGGACTGCACGTCCCAGGCAGTACAATCCCTGAACAGGAAGCCATGCTTATAACTAAAGCATCGGTGCACTAATACGCATTACAATACAGTAACAAACAACATAAACAATAAATGCAATAAGTAATGTAAAACAAATCAAATACTAAATCAATAAATGAGTGCAAAAATTTACAAATTTCGAAACAAAAAAAAAAGAACCATGGTCTTGTACTATTTACATTATATACACCATGTACTATGGCTATAGCAAGGTGCTAACCTGTCGCAATGAACAACTTTAGGCTTAGAGATCGATAACCTTACAGATCTGAACCATGACGTTGTTCAGCCTGTTTAGGACTGCGTAAGGTCCATCCCAAGGTGACTAGCTTAGGACTGAGTTCTTTCCGTTGAATCGGGATTCCACAACCACAC